CTCATTTCTAGATTATTCTGAGTTCTGAGTTGAGAGATGGCAAGTGGTGTAGCAAGTATCTATGGTTCCAGTGGGAGCACTTCGACTAATTGATGTTAAACGGAATTATTTAAGAATGAGGATTGCAGTGAGAAAAGGAGTTTGTCATGACGGTTGCCGTCAGGAGTAATGACGCTTATTTTTGGATGGGTATGTATGCATCTATCTATGTGGGCCGTGGAACGTGGGTTAATGGATGCAGTGTGTGGCGTCGACTTGAGGACGAGACCGTGAGTGGTAAGAGAAGGTGATGTAAGGCTGCAGGGAGCTGCAGTATCCATGAGTTAGCAAAGGGGTGTGGTGATACAACGGGGAGTCGTAGTATTCACCAGTCAGTGAAAGGTTGTTGTGATGTTGCGGGGAGCCGTGGTATTCACCAATCAGTGAGAGGTTGTTGTGATGCTGCGGGGAGCCGTAGTATTCACCAGTCAGCGAGAGGTTGTTGTGATGCTACGGGGAGCCGTAGTATTCACCAGTCAGCGAGAGGTTGTTGTGATGTTGCGGGGAGCCATAGTATTCACCAGTCAGCGAGAGGTTGTTGTGATGCTGCGGGGAGCCGTAGTATTCACCAGTCAGCAAGAGGTTGTTGTGATGCTGCGGGGATCCGTAGTATTCACCAGTCAGCGAGAGGTTGTTGTGATGCTACGGGGAGCCGAAGTATTCACCAGTCAGCGAGAGGTTGTTGTGATGCTGCGGCGAGCCGTAGTACTCACTAGTTAGTGAAAGGTTGTTGTGATGCTGCGGGGAGCCGTAGTACTCACTAGCCAGCGAGAGGGTGTTGTGATGAGTACTCTCTAGTCAGAGCAAGACGCAGAAGATTTTTAGGCATGGGTAGCCCTAATATTTGAGTTCTTGAGAGCCTGGTGGTCGAACCAGGGGCGAGACTGGGGTCTCCATATTTGTCGGGAATCGTTATGCTCTGAATTGAGTGGTGGTTGTCGCAACCCAAGGGAATTGGAGAAGTGGTATATGCGTGAGTTGCGGGTCATGGGTCATGAGTTGAGTGTTTCGTTGGGACGAGTGGTCCCAATTCTGTGTCGGACCAGACTCTCGAGTTGAGTTCGATTCCAATGGTGTATTGAGTAGGCAGAATTAGATTTCAGATTCAGAGATGAATTTCATTTTTGAAGGGGGTATTGTTTTCATCTGGTGTCTTAAGACCTGAGTGGGTCAATTCGTCGGTATGGGAAAACCACGAGACGCATGAAACTAAGGAGTAGTAGATGACAGTGGTAGGGGTGAGACGACTTTCGTATTCGCTTGAGGTAAAGCGAAATTCGTGACTTGTGTGTCACACTAGGCCGAGATAGTTTTTGTGAGAAGGAAGTCAGTGAGACGTTTTGGGACATGCAATGGGTAACCTTTGGAGGTTCAATTACTGGGTCGGGAGATGACCTAGTGCTCAGTGTTGAAAGGGGGATATTTGAGGGGGGGGGGGGCTGGGATTTATGTTTGTTAGATGTTGGAGGATACTGCTGAGTAAGCATGATCATTTTACTGTGTCTAAGGACAAGGTTTTGAGAGTTCATTGTTCGGATGGGTTCTGATAGCAGTTCAGTGGATGAGTCCCTGGTAAGGTGCGAACCCCCCCCCCCCCCCGCTTTCCGTTCCTTAGAGTGTGATTCAGATCGTTTAGTATGTCTGGTATAAGTGATCGGTAGCCGATTGTTGGATTTTGTTTTGTGAGAATCAGAGGGGCGGTGAATTATCAGGGTCTGTTATTCGAGGAGCGAATAATGTGGTGACATCTTGAGTGGGCGTATCTGGCTGTGTGGCAGGCCACTAGAGTTTCCAGACTCTAGAGAGTCAGAAGGGGTAGCGTAGTGGCGGATGGGTCTATCCTTTTTCCAGAGGGAGTTCCTGTATGGATTCAGGTGTCCAGAGAGGAAGATAGTTGTGTGGTGCGAGATCCTTTCGATGGTGTTGTTCGGTTATTGGATTAGTATTATATGTTGTTGAGGAGCGATTTCGAGGGCGAAATCTAATTCAAGTGGGGGAGAATTGTAACATCCAGATTTTCAGGGATATTATTGTGTATGCTAATCTTGAGATTAAAGGAAAGACTCGACGAGTAGAGGGTCCAACTCGCCGAGTCGAATCGAGTTGCCTGCGTGGATTTAATGAATGGACTCGACGAGTCAGAGGAGGGACTCGCCGAGTAGGTGCTGGGCAGAGAAACCCTAATTTCCCGGGTTTGGGACCTATTTAAAGGCACTTATAGCCTCCTTTACGGCTACCCTTCCTTGAGAGAAAACCCTAAACGTGCATAGAGAGCCATGAGAGTCTTGGAAGCTAAAACTTGGAGTAGACTAGTGCATCTCTTGAGGAGAAGAGAAGATCATCCAACAAGGAAGCTAGAGAATCAGTGGATCTGGTGTAACTCCGTGCAAGGGCTTGAGTAAGAGGTAAAAGCTTGCACCTTTCTTGTTATTTTGCTTAGATCTTGTTGCTATGGAAGATTAGGGTTTCTTCCACCATTGTTAGGACTTTGAATGCATAAGGTCCCTTTTGAGGTCTAGATTTCAGATCTGGACTCTGTGAGGTCTAGAGAGTCCAAAGATTATAGCTTTATTTAGTCATATAAGAGTTATTGTGGTTAATCATCCTTGTTAGAGTTATATTGGCATTATGAGCCCTATATGACATGTTTAAACGTAAAGCTTGCAGCATTACGTGACAATCGACCCTTAGGATGGTAGATCTAGTGTTTGGGGTGATGGATCTGCCTTAAATCGTTGGAATGAGGAATCTGATCGAAGGGACTCGCCGAGTCCATGGCCTGACTCGACGAGTCGATTAGGGTTTGTTCCGATGAGTTTGATCATGTGATAACTCGGCGAGTTGGGGGTCAACTCGACGAGCTGAGCAGGACTTTCTGGAGACTTCTGAGGAAAAGAGAGGGGACTCGACGAGTTGCATGAGTGCACTCGACGATTCAGGTCAAACATGGACTATTGAATTGAGTTTGACTTCTGTTGACTTTAGGGTTTAATCAACGTGAGTAATGGAGACCATGGAGGGGTAGAGTGGTCTTTTATCCACTTCAAGAGTTAGACAGAGAAATAGGGTAGCCTTTGGAATAGGCAAGTATTAATAGAGAATTAATTAGAGATATTTATCCTATGTGATAGGCGGGGGCTAGTTCAAGATTTCCGAGTACGAGACTGTTATTTGCTGGCTTGCCAGGTGAGTCTTCTCACTATACTTTACCTAGAGTGGTAACTATGTGTGACGAGAGGGTCTTATGTGCTTACTTGAGATTATGTGCATTGTGATTTATGTATGCTATGTGATATTTAGACCGGACCGGAGGGTCCAACGACTTACGAGGCCAGAGGGTCCTCAACCAGACCAGACCGGAGGGTCCAACGATTTAGACCGGACCAGAGGGTCCAACGAGCTAGACCGGACCGGAGGGTCCAACGAGCTACGGGACTGGAGGGTCCCGCTGAGACACATTGACCAGAGGGTCTTACCGAGTTATAGCCTCGAGTGGCTTTATGTGTTTGTATGTGGTATTTTGGGGAACTCACTAAGCATTTATGCTTACCGTGTTATGTGATATGTGTTTCAGGTACTACCGAGGATCGCGGGAAGGCACCGGCATGATTTGTACACACTGGCAGAGTATTATGTTTTTTAGATTCTGAGATATGTTTTATTGTGATGACATTGGATACACATGAGATTTTGAGAATATTATATGAGTTTTATTGTGTTTGGAAAATGAAAAATTGTTTTAAAATTTACGTCGTTACACAACCCAAATGGACCATGCCGGGTCGGGTCAAGTACATACCAATTATAGTTATGGACTTAGACATTATATCCAACACAAATGTGGTCCCAAAAACCACTATGCTAAGGACAGTTTGGCTGAAATTCCTCAAAAACCAAAAGTGAAAGATTCTGCCTATTATGCTCGTCGAGCACAAGAACTTGAAGATAGTGAAAAGGAATTTGTCGCTATGGTTTTTAGAAATGTTGATGGGTATTGGTCATCTGGGGATGAAGGTGATGAAAATTATATAGGGAACTTGTATCTTATGGCAAGACAATTAATTGAGTGTGATGATGGTTACTGGTCCTTTGGTTCAGAAGCTGATGATGATGATGTTGAGCTAAACTATTGCTACATGGCAACAAATGATCCACATGACAGAAGCATCATCTAGCAGGTAAGTCTATGATTACTGATGATAATTTTGATTTATTTATTTGTGAACCGTATCTTACTCAAATTCAATCAGATATGACAGTTATCCATAAATCATATGAGTCGGCCACAGAAGTTAATGATAAGTTGGATTGTGAGTTGACTAGACTTAGATTACGTTTTGAAGACCACAAGCTTAAGATTGAATCATTGTGGAGAGAACTTGTAATGGATAAGGATGAATGTATTATTTTGAATGAAAAATGTGAAATTACTCCTAGTGAAATAATCATCTTTGTTACTGATAATACACGTCTTAATGTGAAAATTGATGCTTTGCATAATTCGCTTGATGTTCTTGAAGCTAATGAAAGAATGACTCACAATTTTCGTCATCCCTGGTCTAAAGCACTTGGTCTCTGAAGTGAGTTTCCGAAGCCAGTTTTTTGTCCCCTGAAGGAACTTCAAAACCTAATGTTCATTGGAGATATTCTTAAACACACTTATTCAGATACCCATGTCTCACCATTAGCTTCACTTCAAGATACCTCTAACAAATATCAATCATTGATTCCTGAGTTCAAACCAATCACTGTTAAATATCCTGATTCGATGCATCTTCCACCGCTGATATCCCTGGACCTAAATCAGTCTTCGGAATCCTTAGATAACATAGGCATTACTAGAGTTTGTGCTCTCAACTCCGGTCCTCCGAAACATTTTTTTATCGAGGAAATCATTCCTAAGACAAATGGACATGACTTAGAGCCATTCAACTCCTTTTAGGTTTCCTTTGATAACTCTAATGTGGTCTCAAAATCGACTCTATTTCCAATTAAGCCTCATTTCAGCAATCCATCAGTTGGACAGACTTCCAAGTCATCATGTGAAATTTGGAACATTTTCAGAGACAGAAGGTGTTCAAACTTCAAGTACTCAAACTGTTGTGGTGGCCGAAGAACACGTGGTGCCATCAAGACCAAATCTCAGTTCTTCATTTGAAGTTTCTGATGATGATGATGATGATGATGATGTTGATGATGATGATGATGATGAGAGTGATAGTAATGACGATAGTATGGATTTTCATATGTTTGTACCGTCGAATGAGCCAGTCAATGAGGTTGTGATTTCTCCGGCTGAGACAGAAAAGGAAATCAACATTTTTAAGCAACAAAACGATCCTACGCCCGAACAGATGGAAGCTCTTATTGACAAATTACAGTCAACTGCAAAGAAGCCTCCCCAAGTAGTTTCTATTACTTCTGAGTCTCCATCTGGGAGTGATAAAGATAATTCAAAAGCATCCATGCTGCCAAGAAAGCGAAAACGTAGAGATCCAAGGTCGGGAATACTTTCTACTGAACCAGTACAACAACCTTCTCAGATTGTTGAGCCCGCTCAAGTTACTCATGATGTTCAAAGTCCGATTATTGAGCCCGCTCAAGTTATTCAAGATGTTCAAAGTCCAATTATTGAACCAGCTCAGGTTCATCAAGATGTTCAAAGTCAAATGGCTAATGAGGAAACAATTGCTTCGGGAAGCTCTTCTGCCCCACCACCCCCAGAGCACGATGTTGTGTCTGTCAAACTAGCCAAGTTACTTGCATTTCAAGATTCCATTTCTCAATCCAAAGGAAAAGGAATATCTATTGGCTCCAGGCAAGGAGGTGATGAAGACTCCCATCAAACCATCTCTGAGCTCAAACAAGAGATTATGTTTTTGAAGCAGGAGTCCATTGAGAAGGACTTACTGATTGGTAGTCCGAATAGGAGAGTTTCTAACCTTGAATAGGGGAACTCTGTTAAAGATGCGAAGATTTCCGAACTTCAATCAAATCTTGGTGGTCTAACTGCTTTATTATTTGACCTGAAACAACACTTACATCAGAGGTTTGGTGATGATTTTCAACCGTTAGGCGCTGAAGGCAAAAAGATTTATGCTTCTAGTTCTGATCCAATCATTCCACCTTCTCGACATGCAAGTGAAAGAGTTGTTGTAACATCCCAATTTTCAAGTCCAAAAATTTCTTTTTAATTAACTGTCTCATAAAAACATTCATAAGAAAATACTGTGAAAACACATCATCTCATAAAACAATGTGTCATGTCTAAAAACCCAAGTCATAAAATAGTAACATATCAGAGTACAATCCCAGAAGACTCCATGCGGAAATCATGTGTGTGTGTGATGCGCTGCTACACTGTCGGCTCCTTCCCCTTAGACGAAGAGGTACCTGAAACCCAAAACTAAAACTGTAAGCACAAAGCTTAGTGAGTTCCCCCATCATACCACATACCATACAGACATATCGCATTCATACTGCCGGGCAATTCTGGGGTGCCCGACCTACCCAGTACGGCCATTCTGGGGTGCCGACCTACCCGTGTCAAGCCATTCTGGGGTGCTGACCTACCCGTGTCAAGCCATTCTGAGGTGCTGACCTACCCTTCGGTCCTATCAACCGAACCTCGGGGACTATTCCACCCCCTACTGCTACTATCACATATATCATAACGTAAACATACTGTCAGACGTTTTTGGGGTGTTCGACTTACCCTTCGGTCCTAACAACCGAACTTGAGGACTATTCCCTCCCTACTACCACTATCACATATAACATAACATGCCAACATATAATCATATTATCACATACTGTCAGACATATCTGGGGTGTCTGGCCTACCCTCCGGTCCTAACAACCGGACTCTACTACTGTCACATATACATATCGTGCTAGCATATAACATATCAGGTGGTAGCAAACCTAGATGAATATCACAAAGACAATCATCCAATCATACAACTCCTACTGGTGGGCCGGCATTGTGGCCGTAGACCCACCGCTACTGGAAGGTAACTCACCTCGTACAAGTAGCTGATAATCTGTGCGGGAAACCTCTGTCTGCTGCCGCTCCGGAAATCCTCCGGCTACAATCCCCACAAAATACTTAATCAGAATCTGATATCTATTCTTAGGGTGAAATGACCATTTTACCCCCAACCAAGTCCAAGTCAAAGTCAACTTCCAGTTGACCCGGCTCGCCGAGTTGGGCCGTCAACTCGTCGAGTCCCTTCCCTTTACTCGTCCTTATCCACGACTTGACTCGTCGAGTTTGGCAACGACTCGACGAGTTCCCCTTCTTCACGAACATCAATGGACCTTCATCCGACTCGCCGAGTCGGATGAACACTCGTCGAGTTCACCTTCAACTGATGAATAAGTCCTGACCTTGACTCGCCGAGTTGTATGAACAACTCGTCGAGTTCATCTTCAAACATAAGAAGATTTCCTTGGACTCGCCGAGTCTGTTCTAGCACTCGTCGAGTCCCATGAACTCCAGGTCTAAAATTAAGTCCAATGCGTTGGGTCACTCTTTCTGTCCTGCTACAACCCTTCTAACACCCAACTGAGTCCTTTTGACCCTCAACAGATATGGGACTCAAAGCCTTGGACTCGTCGAGTCCCAAGAACGAACTCGCCGATTCGATAATATCCACACCCTAAATCCTCGATTTCTGATGTACAACACTTGACCAAATGATAGATCCAAGCCCCTAAGCTCGATCTAGCACGTAAAGTTACGAACTTTACGTGCATGCATGGGACTTTTGAGCCAAAAAGGCTCTAAAATGGCTCTAGTGTTGCATGGAGCCTTCCTTGGGTGCAAAAGCAACCCAAATCTGCCTTGTGACCCCTTTAAAGACCTGATTCCAAAGCCTCAACCCCCAACCATGTTTGCAATCATGGTTGGTTACCAAAAATAGCTTATAAAAGCCCTAAATCTCCCCAAAAAGGGATTTATCAAATGAAAGAGCAAGGTACAGACTTTATACCTCTCAAGAACTGCAATTGATGAACCAAACTCGAATCCTTCAGTTCCCTCTTGATCCTTCTATGCTCTTCCTTCTTCCTTGTGAACAAAACCACCAAAATCACTCAAAAGCCTTAGATCTTGCACCAAAACACTTAGGGTTTGCTATGGAGGGTTTCTGGGAGAATAAAGGGGCGATGGAGGCTGCATAAGGTTGTTTAAATAGGGTGCAAACCCTCAGATTAGGGTTTTGTCCAGTCAGAGACTACTCGTCGAGTCCATCACTTAAATCTCGCGCCTCATCCCGCTTCTACTCGGCGAGTTGGTCCTTCAACTCGCCGAGTCCAAGGCCAAAATGCAAAAATTACTTAAATAGAATACTTACCAGGAACCGGGTGCTACAGTTGTAATACCTGCTCCAAACGCAAATTTTGACACATTTTTATCTTCTGGTCCTTTTTCTGCTCAAGAAAGAAGAGAGGAGCAAGCTCGAATTGAGCAGCTGAAAGGGAAGATGTTAGTGATGAAGCATTCCGATAAGAATGTTCCACGTGATCACCCTGAAATGTTTTTAAGGGAAACTGGGAAGAAATTTACTGACAAGTATGGAGATCGCTCTGGCATTTTGATGTGGGGATATGATGCTGGCAAGAAATGTGGATCGTGAAGCGAAAGAGCAGTCGAATAGAGTTTTATGAGAAGCCAGTTGACTTTATGTCCTGGACAAAAGTTGATCTTGCTGAACTTATTCATGCTCCTTTCAACAATCCAACCAATGATTTCGCGGCCTGGGATTTGAAGAGGTTTCTTGAGGATCAAGCTAAAAATAAATTTAAAGGCATGAAGACTGCTTCATCGTTCACGAAAAAGGCTAAGGATGCCATTGATCCTCACACAAATAAAACCTTGGTGAATGTTATGTGGCCTCCCACATAGCAAGCTAAAAGGATTCCGCTTCCCAAACGTTTACCAGAAGGCACTTTGGACTCAAGGCAATTATGGGTTTATGATGAGGTTACCGCATCGGCGGTGATCAAGCTGAAGAAGGGCTAGTATCGCATTGTCGATCCCAAAGATTTGTTAAAGTTTAGAGAAAGTGATATTCATACTTTGTCACATTTTCAACTTATTGTAAAAAATGAATTATTTGAAGCTGCTAGCAAAGCTTTCACCGGAATGGTTGCCACTATAAGTGACAAGAAGCTGTGGGTTGGGACATTCGATCAGTCTGATGTTCATCTTGTAGACAAGCTGTAAAAGCAGCCAGCAATAAACCAAGGGGAAGATTGTTGGGTCAAATGTTTTTGGTTTATGTTGGGCTCATAATGTTTATTGTTCTTGGGCTTAGAATATTATTTTGTTAATGGGCTTGTATGTGTTCTTGGTTAGCTGGACCGAAATCACCTAGTGAATTTCGGTCATGCATGGGCTTGGGCTTTAATAGTTTTTGTATTAGGCTCATATATATATATATATATTATATATATATATATATATGATATTGCCGTATAGGTTTTGAGTTGTTGATCATATTGTTCTCGGCTGTATCAAGTTCTGGTGTACCAGATAATTTTTCTTAATAAAATCGTGTGCATTTTAAACGAATTTGTGTGTTCTTGAATCATTGCTTAATTAACATTCTGCATTCTTTAACCAATTAAGATTGATATTGCATAAGATCCATAATCATTGCTTAATTAACATTCCATATTCTTTAAGCAATTAAGATTGATATTGCATAAGATCCATAGTTTTAGGACTTACAAATATATTAATTGGAAATAGATAATTGATTAATTAATTTGTTATAAGATTAATAAATTAATATGAGAGCAATAGTTAAATAATTGATTTGTTAATTTTTATGATTAATAAATTAATATGAAATCAATTAGAATTGATTAATTATTAATCAGAATTAATCTAGAATTATTTTGAGATTAACTTGAATTAATTAAAGGTGCAAGAGGTGATTTGTAATTGGTCAATAATTGAACAAAAGAGGCAATTCTAGAACATTCCAAGGGTGGACAGTTTTGGGTGCTCTTCTAAGGTTTCTATAAGTCTCCTCGATGTTGATAGGGAAATGATTTGAATTGGATTTAAACCCATTCTTTAATTAATTCAAATCTTGCTTTGTCCCTAAGTTACCTAGCTATAAATATGACCCCTTTAGACCTTAAATTAGTGGATGCTCTTTCCAAGGACCATAAGAACGAAATTTATACATTCCTCCTATCTCCTCAAGTATCTGCTAGTTATAGGGTTTGGATTTGAGGCATTAGAGGCATCATCCTTTTGGAGTTTTAGCTTTCCAAGCTATTCAAAGGAATGATTGAAGTGATTTGTTTGCTACAACAAATCGAAGGTATGTAAACCTTTAACCTTGATTTTTCAATTTCAAAATTGCTAGGGTTCATGTTAGTTTTGTGATTTAAAGTATGTTGCCTTCAAAGTGAAAGATATAGATCATTTTAGGTTGCATGTGTCATTTATTAATTACTAAGTGTTTTTCCGCATTGTGCATATTGTTGTAACCTAATAAACCCATCGATATTGTCTGATAAATATGGTTTCCATGTATTTCAGGTTCAAGTATCAAGCCTTAAAGGGAGTGGGTTTAGAATCATCAAGGACATTAGATTAGACTAGACTTTTGTTTCATTATGAGTAAATTACACGAATGGTCCCTAACTTCTTTTTTTAACTCGGAAGGTCCCCTAATGTTTGTTTTTGTTACGCGCTTGGTCCCTACTATTTGTTTTTGTTACGCGTTTGGTTCCTATCTTACGTAAAAAGACTATTATTTAAATAGAGAAAAATTGTGGGGTAGTTAAGGTAAGACGAGTGGGATGGGGTTGGGAGTGTGTTTATTTAAATAAATTAAAAAATCAAGGGCAAAATAGTCCTTTTAGGTAAGACAGGGACCAAGTGCGTAACAAAAACAAACAGCAGGGACCTTCCGAGTTAAAAAATTAA